CGTTTATTGTAATTATTTGTGAAATTAACTAGCAATTTCTGAGTGAAAATTGTTTCACCAATTTTTTTCAGTGCTGGATTTTTTAGTGGGGTTTTTTAATGTTATATGTTTATACGTTTTTATATCTTATTATTTATATGCTATTGTAGTTTCTGATAATATTAAGAGAGCTTTTTCAAGATTTAATTTTTCAATTTTTATTTTAATTTGACATTTAATTTTTAGAATTTTTGTGTTTTTGTTGTTGTTGTTATTATTAGTTTAATTTATTATTATTATATTAATATTATTATTATAAATTTAATATATTATTTAAGTTTAGTTTTAATTCAATTTTTTGTTTATTTCCAGTTAGCAATTTCAGTGCTTCAACTTGAATTATCAATTAGTTGCCAATGTGACATTTTTAATACCAGTTTTATATGATTTATTATTTATATTTTAATTTATTGAAATTATTCATTAAAAAGATCCCAGATACATGCTTACTGAAAATGTACATTAAAGGAATTATATGAAAATCTTGTTCATTTTTGCACATTTTATTAGTGTTGTTGCAGGCAGTTTGGTATCCAGTATCCTGTGAGGGTCTCAGTTTGTGATGACTGGAGTGAGTTTGGTGAAGCGTGTGTTGGATCATGTTAGAAGCTGGTTTTAGTGTCCAATCAGACGGATTAAAGGCATTTAAAAGGACTCTGAACTGCAGCTTTAGAACAACTAATTCCCATGTTGTCCTGCAGCCCTCTGAGTCTCTCTCTCTCTCTCTCTGTGTGTGTGTGTGTGTGTGTGTGTGTGTGTGCACGTGTTCACCAACACATCTGTCACATCAGCCTCTCTTCTTCAATTTCATGTTTTATTCAGCATGAGTGCCTATTCTGTATCAAGCACACACTCACACTGTCTGTAGAAATAATCGATATAAGGCACTAGTCTGTACTCTGCTGACCAATCAAACGTGTCACATGACTGACCAGAGGAATATTGAGCTGTCAGTCTGATCACTTCACTCTCCTGAGATCCATAAGCCTTTGACATTTAAACAGAAGCTCTACAATCAAGTGCCTTGAAACATTACATAGCAAAATCTATCTATCTATCTATCTATCTATCTATCTATCTATCATTGTATTGTTTTATATATCTCTGTAAGACCTTTAAATATTTTTATAAGGTAAAAACTAATTTTGAAAACATTCAAACAAGTCATTGTCAGACCATAATTCAAAATTGTCTTCAACTGAAAAAGTGTTTTTTGTTTCAGGTTTGTCTTTTGAATTCATTTTAATTCTACTTCATTACATTCAAATTCAAATTGCAATTCTTCATCCTGTTTGCCTTAATTAACATTCAGGAACTGATTTGGAATTTAAAGGATGTTAAATTCAGAATGATGCACAATCGTCATTTGCTAGGGTGTTCTGGGTGGTTACTAGGCAGTTGCTAGGGTGTTCTGGGTGGTTGCTAAGTGGCTGTTTACTAGTATACATCAGAAGAGTCTTCCCATCAAGTCTGGTCCTCTGCTTGATTCCCTCTCTCAGTGTACGTCTTTGGGAGTGTTTATTTTTTTCACCTGTTTTATCGTTCACCAGGTGAAACTCGTAAGCCTGATCGCCTGGGACAGTAATCACACATCTCTCCACAACTGACATGTAATTTTCTGGCTCAAGCGCAGCATGAGTTTGTGCTGGGACTAGCAGCGCAGAAATCACACACTTCAACCAGAGTTCACATGTGCTGTCTCCGAAAATGACGGCAGGTTTATAGTGTGTTTCTTATGAGTTGGCAGTCTTTTGGGCAAAAACAGCACTTCATTGTGTGACGGCACAAAGAAAGATCCCTGTCACCGTCACCGACTCTGAGGCGAAACAATAGAGCTGCCTTAAAAGAGGCTTGAGGTATTGGCAGGAGGAAGCAGCTCGGTTTGATGTGAGCGCTTTGCTTCATTCACATGTGCAGCAGAGACAGTTCCTTTGTCATTACCTGCTGCTGCTGAAGCGAACGAGAGAATGAGAGCAGAGACCGGGACTGTGGAGATAAGCTGAGCTTCTGAGAGCCGCTTGATTACCACAAAGACCCTAGTGAATATTGAGAAGGGTCAGGCCGTGCTGCGGGAGGGACAGAGGATCTGAAGGACCTCACTGTCAGGAGCTGAGTGCTGTTCTCTGAGGATCTCTGAGCTAAAGCACTTCTGAATCACTGCCACTGACGATCATGTGAAAGTTCAGCTCACTGTCACGTGGGGGTTTGAATGTGTGTATGTGTGGAGGACGGGGTGATATATTGAGGATTGAAAATATTAGTGGTGATTTTGGTGACATTTCATTTATCGCAAAGAATTTTGTAAATTAAAAAAAAAAAGTGTACCGTAAATATGTTTGAGATTTATGTTGAATATTGTCAAAAGGCTAAAAAATATCAAGATATAGTTTCTTTATATAGCTGTTGAGTAACATAGAAAGAAACTGACACTGAATTTGCTGATTTATCCAATTGAAATGTGGTTTCCAGTGGAAGTTCCTGTCACGGGGGTTTTTGCACATGCTGGACAAAGCAAATATGCACAAATGCATGTTTCAAAAATCATGAACACACATGTGAGTGATGTTATTTTTCTGCCTTGGTGAGCTCCAGCCATCAAGTGAATGTCTGCTATGATATTAATGATAAATACGACTGGGTGATTACTCATTAATGTGCATAAATCATCTCCAACCCTTTCAGTTATCAAATATTGTCATTCTGTACATGCAAACATACTGAAATTTTTGTTATTAAACATTGTTGGCATTTGTAATTTGGGTACAGTTAAAGGAATAGTTCACCCCAAAATGAAAATATCCTCACCCTCAGGCCATTCAAGATATAGATGAGTTTGTTTCTTCATCAGATCTGGAGAAATGTAGCATTCCATCACTTGCTCACCAATAGATCCTCAGCAGTGGATGGGGGCCGTCAGAATGAGAGTCCAAACAGCTGATAAAAACATCACAATAATCCACAAGTAATCCACACAACTCCAGTCCACCAATTAACGTCTTGTGAAATGAAAAACTGCAAACTCTCTGTGAACTTTTATTCTGACGGCACCCATTCACTGCAGATGATCCATTGTCTCCAAATCTGTTCCCATGAAGAAACAAACTCATCTACATCTTGGATGGCCTGAGAGTGAGTACATTTTCAGCAAACTTTAATTTTTGGGTGATCTATTCGTTCAACACATTTTCTAGATGTGAGCCTCCATTATGGTTTTACAGTAATATGTGAAATTCATTATTTTGTAATCACTTTCATTTTCATAATAATTGTTTTGTTTTTGGTGTGTGTGTTGATGAATGTTGTAGATGATTATGTTCTGAAGTTGTGTGTGTTGTGTGCGTTTTTCTCCAGTGGTCGACGCCATCTGTCCACCCAAGAAAGGTGAGAGACGGGCTGCCGTTATGCGTGTGACATGCGTGTGTTCACACAAAACACTGTGACGTGTGGCTGTATGTAGCTGTGTGTTTTTCGTGATCTTGGACTTTTCTTGTAAGAAAAGTTCCATAGACTATAAGTTCACATTGTTTCTGTTTGTGTTGTATTTCCATTTGTGGGTCAATGACAAATAGGATGTCTGAGATAATGAAAAGGGAAAAATGGTTTAAAAAGTAGAATAGTTTAAAATGCATTATTTGCATTCAGCTGTTGCTGAAACAGAACAGCATTTACATCAGAAATTTGTAGCATGATACTTTTTATAGTATTTATGAGTGAGTGAGCCTCACTCATAAAAACTATAAATTGCCTTCAATATATATATATATATATATATATATATATACAGCTCTATATGTGATATATATATATACAGTACTGTATATGTGTGTGTGTGAGTTTTAATAAATGTACTCTGTGTTTGAAATATTAATAATAGTAATTTTATAAATTAAATAATTTAAAACAAAACTGCTTCATTATTTTATTTTTAAGATTTTATTGCAAGTTTGTTTTTATTTATTTTTTACAAGAATATCACTCTTTAAAATCTTTTTTCTGCATTACCACTTATTTTAACAAAAATATCCAAATTAATCTTATTAATCATAGAAAAGTTGTACTGAATTCTGTTTTATTTTCATCATTTTGAATAAGTTATTAGATTCTGGACACAAAACAAAGAAAATGAGCATCACGTCATTGATCCTTGTTTGTTTTTTGTTTTTATCTTTGTTTCATTGTGTGTGTCCTCTGTAAGCAGAATGTCGTGTCTGTGATGTCTCCCTTTGATTTGATTCTGTTTGTGTGTGTATGTCCGTGTTCTAGAGTGCCTGTTCGCTATTGCCTGTGAAATAACCAGGAAACCAGTGACGGCATGCATAATAATTAATCAGATGAACGATAGACAAGTACAGCTGGACAGGACGTCACACGAGTCCAAACACCACTTTATTCGAAATTATGTGGGAATCCTGTGGAATTAGAATTCTAAATGGATTTAGAATTCTCATAACATTCCATAATGCGACATCATTCCAAAAAGTGAAACGGGATAATCAACGGGAAAAAAAAGGTAGGACAGGATTTTATCCATCCAGAATTGATTGGATCTTTCTATGACAGATGCTTGGAGAAGAAGTCGCTGGTGATGTCGTTTTAGAGACAGAGCAAGTTAATTTTGATGAAAGATTATGAAGGCAAACACTTTTTTTCCTTTGGAATCATATGTGCACTGATAAATTGTACACATACCAGGAACATCCATCCAACCAAGTACTAACCAGATGAAATCAATTAAATTAAGAAAATGAATAGTTCACTCAAAAATGAAAATGTGCTCACCCTCAGGCCAACCAAGATGTAGACGAGTTTGTTTCTTCATCAGTTTTGGGAAATGTAGCATTCCATCACTTGCTCACCAATGGATCCTCTGCAGTGAATGGGTGCCGTCAGAATGAGAGTCCAAACAAAAGTTATAACTTTTTTACAAACTGTTGCTTCCTGGTAAAATTTAGACATGGATATATAAAACATATGGGTATTTAAAATATAAATATGGATAGAAGACAATGGATTAGAAATAATCCAATAAATATGGATTAGAAGATAGAGAGTCCCCTCTCCATAATATTGCTTTCTCCAGTGAAAAAAGGTCGTCTCGTCTGAATCAGGAGAAAAATCTGCATAGATCAATCACGGTTTACAAGCTAATACAGTTCAAAACAGCTATATGTACAAATATGTGGGTGGATTTTGATGTGAGAGGACAACAGGAGATTAACTTTTTCACTGGAGGAAGCGTTATTATGGATTATGGACTCGAAGCGACGGTTTGTTTTTATCAGCTGTTTAGACTCTCGTTCTTGCAGCACCCATTCACTGCAGAGTGAGCAAGTGATGTAATGCTGAGAAATAAACTCATTTTGGGTGGCCTGAGGGTGAGTACATTTTCAGCAAAATTTACATTTTTGGTTGAACTATTCCTTTAAGACTTTATGACATGAGGATTAAAATTATTTCAGTTGTTTAATCAGTTGTTTGAAATGATGTCCATTCTCTTGAAATGAAGACTCCAGTCAATCTGTGGCTAAATAAAGATGAAGATGTTTGCTTTATTCTGTAATCTGTGTCCATAACGATAGTTGTCAGTGTAATACATATAACCACAAAACATAAACAAAATATTACTTAGTGCACGTTTAAGCTTACCTTCAGCTCTTGCATTTTGGTGATTTGAGCAGTCAGAAGCTTAGAGAAAATATCTAACTGGTGCTTCAGAGCTAATTAGCTAAACCTCAAACAGAAGCGAACAATCTGAGCCGCTGACACTGGTGTAAAGTTATCTCCTGTTATCTCTTCAGCCAGCGCTGGAGCTCACGAGTTCTTCATATCTAGGTTAAACACAGCAGTTTTACCTTTCTACATATTATCTTGATTGTTAGATGTTATCTTGAACAAATCCTATTAGCTAGTTAATCCTGATTAATTAGTCAGGAAATCTCCAGTAACTGTGTCATGGTTTGGAATGGAGAGGTTCGGTACCGCCGCTACCCATCTGAAGTCTGAGCACTTTAAACCTAAATGATGCATGAGATGCATGACATCAAACTGTATTTATCTGTGTTGTGCTCGTGCATCACGCCTCACACAGTCAGTGATAACAGTGACAGAGTGAATATAAGCAGTAAATAGAACATCTACCTCACCATCTGTCTCTTGAACATAGTAACTAAATACTAACCCTAGACATCTGTGCATTTCTGCACTATTTGCATTCATCTTGTAATAGTATATTTATATTTATAGTACTAGTCAATCTCATGAAAAACGTCTAACCCTAAATCTAAAAGAAAAAAAATCCCCAAAATGTCACAGTGTATAAATAAATATGTTTGCATAATTTTATTTATTTATTTTAAATAAAACTTGACCAAGGCATGTTCTTCACAGCTTTAATGAAATTCAACCCTAAAGGACATACAAAAATGTATTAATTAATTAATTAATTTATATCTATCTATCTATCTATCTATATATATATATATATATATATATATATATATATCATCTTTTTTATTTTCTTTTAGATTTTGAATTTGACATGCTTTTAATGAGATTTACTGAAATACGATTAACATTGTATTAAGTGAAAACCATTCACATTACACTGTGACATTTTTTGGGGAATAAAATTAAAAAATGTAATTGATGAAATTCACTCTTAAAGGTTTTTGTCTCATGGTAAAATCATCGTATTCTTTAATGCACATTGGAGTGGCATGTAAATACCAAGGCATTTGACTATGGTTATTAATCACAATCATGGCATATATCAAAGAACAATGATATTACCATCTGATACCAACACTTTACCATGATACCACCACAGTGCTTGTTTATTAGAGAAACAGGAAAAAATTTAAATTGGTAAAAATGCATGTAAACATGTCTAAAACCCCAAAACTGTAATACAATAAAGGTGCTGCAACACACTTTTGCTAATTATGTAGCACATAAGTCAGCATTTAAACAAAATATTCTTGAATATTTTAAGCTTAATTCATTCAATGCTGCTTTTTTGGCTTGGAAACAGAATAATATAAAGTTCCCACTACAAGTTCTCTATATGTTTAGCACATATGGCTCTTGCTGGTTTGTTTTTCAGCCTGACTATTGAATTGCTTGAGTAGCTAATTGTATTCAATACATTTCAATCTGCAACTTTATTCCTCACTGGCTTCATTTTCCAGCTGTTTGATCCTAAATCTCTGTGGCCATGTGTTCTCGCCTGGGCTGTCAGGCTCCGTCCTCATCTCAGCACAAAAAAGGTATATTGTTAGACTCCAAATGGAAGCGAGGCGAGGCCATTCCACGGGGTTCAAACAGTCCTTTTGAAGTGCCAGACTTAATACAAAATGTGCCGTTTACCCTCGTACACACACACTGAAAATTGGTGCTTTTAAAAGCTTAATAGAGCCGCCGCTCACTGAGACTTAACCTGCGGACATCTGCCAGAGAAGAAGCCAACATCAGTACACAAATAAAGCCATAAAATATACACATGGACGTATTCAGAGAAAAATTACAGTATATGAACACATGCAAAACAGATCAGACTGATTGGATTTGTTGAATATGATCTAAACTAAAACCTTTCAGGTGCAAAATGAGTTTTTAATTAGTCTTTTTTGACTAGTTTCCAATTAAAAATATCTAAATGTCCTTAAAATTAGATAAACTTACTAGAGAAGCAACACTTTATAATATATTATGAACTATTTTTATGGATTGCATCTTGAATTTAAGAGTATTTTGTCTAACTACTGGTGGATTTTTTTCATTTGTTTTAAACTTGTTTATACTTTAAACAACAACAACAAAAAATAATAATAAAAATCTGCCAATGCAATGCAATATTGCTTCTCAAGTAAATGTATCTTGTTTCAAGATTTTTAGATTTAATTTTTATTGAAAAAAAAAATGTTGCACCTTTTTCCTATTTATTTATTTATTTATTTTTGGTTGCACTTTTGTTGGTAGAGCATTTCCTTTCAATATTTTTTGTATACTTATGAATTCAGAAATTATTAAAAATGATTTAAATTAGGAGTTAAATAGACTTGTTGTGCAATTTAATATTGATTGAACTTTTTTCCACTGTAAAAAAAATTATTGGAGTACGTTTTACAAAAAATACTATTTCAGTGTTTACTGCAGAATTTTCATCTTTAATTTAATGTTTTACTTGCCAATTCTATGTGATTATTTTTAAAATGTACTAGGATTTTTTGAGTGAAAATTGATTCTAAACTAAATTTTTTCCAGTGTATTTAAAGAGAGAGATGAGATGCATTTATGCAATGCATATATGTAGTTTATCATTGTTGTGCTGCAGCACTGAATGATGGGTAATGTAGTTTTGTCACATAATCTTGTTGCCTCAT